TTCATCGCGTTCGCGAGGACACTGTCGCGATCGCGAAGAGCTGCCAGAAGTGGACTTACGCGATCGCGAGTTCTCCCATGCGTTCGCGAAGGGTTGACCCCCCTGACCTTCGCGTTCGCGGACACACGCACGCGTTTGCGTAGAAGATTGACCAAAATCCCAGACCACCTCCAATTTACACTACGCGTTCGCGTCACACAGGTTGCGTTCGCGATGAGCAATCCTCCAGAGCTCCGTGTTCGCGACTGTGGCTTCGCGTTCGCGAATAACAATTCCACCCCTGTCCCCATTTCCCTTTCGCGATCGCGAGTGTTACTACGCGATCGCGATGAACAAAAGTTTTGTGCACCTGCAGCAGCAATTCTGCAACTTTTCCTAAGTCCAAAACTTCCCGAAACACATCCGAAACACACCCGAGCCCTCGGGGCCCCTAACCAAACATATGTACTAACTCAACAACATCATACGAACTTATCCGTGCGATCAAATCGCTAAAATAACCTCAATAACCACGAACTAAACCTCAAAATCAAAGGATTTTTCTCAAACTTCATAAAACATCAACTTTAGCAATTTAGGTCCGAATCACGTCAAACGACATCCGTTTTTCACCAAATTTTACAGAAATGACTTAAATCATATATAAGACCTGTACCGGGCGCCGGAACCAAAATAGGGGCCCGATTCCACCATGTTCTATACAAATTTCATTTCAGAATTCCTTAAACAATTTCAATAAATAATTTCCTTTAAAAATTCATTTCTCGGGCTTGGGACCGCGAAATTCAATTCCGGGCATACGCCCAAGTCCCGTATTTTCCTACGGACCCTCCGGGACCGTCAAATCACGGGTCTGGGTCCGTTTATCCAAAACGTTGACCGAAGTCAAATTAATTCATTTATTAGCCAAATTTTATCATTTTTCACAGATTTTCATATTTAAGCTTTCCGAATACGCGCCCGGACTGCGCACGCAAATCGAGGTGACTCTAAATGAGGTTTTCAAGGCCTCGAAAATACAGGATTTAATTTAAAAGCAAGTGATGACCTTTTGGACAACAATCCCCCCAATATTTTGTAGGCACTTTAGAATGAAAGAGAAGTGCCCTTGAAGTTCCAAACAAATACCTATGTTTCCTCTCTACTACCCCATTTTGTTGGGGGGGTATATGGACAAGAAGTGTGATGAATAATGCCTTGTTCAGTAAAGAAAGAAGAAGTGGAAGGACTGGAACCTAACTTTAAAGCATTATCAGACCTAACAGTCAATGACTTTAGAATTAAAATGTGTATGTACCATGGCAATGAAAGCTTTCAGAATCGGAAAAGCATTTGACTTAGTCTTTAACAAATGAGTCCAAGTTGTCCTAGTAAAATCATCCACAATTGTTAGGAAGTACTTGCACCCATCATGTGTGGGGACATGATAGGGACCCCAAGTGTCAACATGTATCAATTGGAAAGGATTGGTTGTGTGAATCGTACTATCTGGAAAAGGAAGTCTGGTTTGCCTTGCCATTGGAAAAATATTACAAACAAAGTCTTGTTTACTAGAAAGCATAGAGGAAATAGAAGGAATAGACTTTAAATGAACAAAAGGTATATGTCCCATTCTACTATGCCAAAGAGTGTTCATTTTATTCATTTAAAAAATATTTACAAATGGAACAGAGGTGACAGAACACTCAACATTGTTCTTACCAAGATCAGGTAAAGCAGAACTATGAGAGCAAGTAAAAGAAGAAGGATGGCTAACAACAGAAGATGAACATGATAAATTGGTAGATGGCAATTGCAAGATGTAAAGTCCATGCTGGGATTTACCAAACTCCAGAGGCCTCCTCATGGAAAGGCCCTGTATGAAACAGGCAAAAGAGCTAAAAATGAGCAGGCACTTTAATTGTGATACCAACTTGTGCATAGATATCAAGCTGTATTGAAAACTAGGGACTAAAAGAACATGAGACAGAGTAGTATCATTTGACAAGGTTAACTCTCCCACACAAGTTACTTTGACTTTGTATCCATTAGGCAGGGTTACTAAATAAGGAATGGGCAAAGACTTAATGTTGTGAAGTAAGCTACTGTGAGATGTCATGTGGTCAGTGGCCCCAGAGTCCAATATCCGAGAGTTCTTATCAACCTTACACAACAAACAAGTACTAACTGAACATTTAGGTTTATTACTAGAACAGAAACTGAGTATACCTGCAAAATTGGCAGAAGCAATAAGGTGAGAAGTAGAATTGGGATCAGACACATGATGTTGTTGAAGTAGTGTGAGAAGCTGGCTCCACAGCTCATTTGTCAACCCTGGAATAGTCGAATTATCTCCAGCATTGATAGGTGGTGTCTCATTGAATGGCTTAGGTTCAGCATGAGCAAATTGTTTAGGAGGCTCCAATTCAGTTTGAACATTTGCAGCAGTCCTTCGATTGTTTCTAGTGAACTGAAAACTCGGGGGAAAGCCATGCTTCTTATAACATCTCTCCACTGTATGACCAAGCTTATTTCAATAACTACAGACAACACTAGGCCTCCTTGGATCAAAACTGGTTTTAGGCTGGAAATTCTTCTGAAAGGGCTTTTGAAAAGATCTTTGAGTCCCCACTGAAAAGGAAGCAGACTCTGAGCTAAATTGAGAAGAAGAGGGCTGAATTTCTCTTTGTCTTTCATCAGTGACCAGAGGAGAATAAGTTTGATCGTAGGGAAAGGACTCATCATAAGTAAATTACTTCTGGCATTAGCATAACCTTCATTCAGGCCCATTAAAAATTGGTACAATTTCTGGTCCTCTTCACGTTTTTGAATGTCTAGCTTACCACCCCCACAAGTGCAATGAGAATCAGCGTAAACATTCAAAGTACTGAGCTCATCCCAAACACTCTTCATCCTTGCATAATATTCAGGAATGTTCATAGAACCCTGAGAAATAGAAGCAAGCTCCTTTTTTAACTTGATAAACCCTAATTCCACTCGGTTGTCCATATCTATCTTCCAATTCCATCCACACATCCTTGGCAAGTTGACAATACAGAACACTCTTACGAATGACTGGAGTGAGAAGATTGTGAATCCATGAAATCACGATGTTATTACACCTATCCCATTGACGAAAAATAGGGGAATTCGGAGGAGGTCTCACATAATCAGGTTGAATGAAGTATAATTTGTTCTTCATAGAGAGAGCAATAAGCATGCTTCTACGCCAATCGCTATACCCAATCCCATCAAAAACGGTACCTACTAGTGAAAGCCCCAAATTATCCGATGGATGAATGTAAAGAGGATGATTATGATCAATTGTATCATCCGATGAGTTATCAGAACTAGAATGACCAGAAGAATTTGGAACCGACTTGTCCGAGATCAATGAACCCATGACTAAGAGGGTGTTTGGATTAGCTTATAAAAAGTAGCTTTTAAGCTAAAAGCCAAAAGCCATAAGTTGGTAATACCCAACTTTTGGCTTTTGGCTTATTTTTGTACTTTTTATGCCTAAAAGTAAGTGTTTTTAAGTACTTTTTATCATTGCCAAACACCATACAAATTAAAAAAGTGCTTAAAAGCCAGTAAGCACTTAAAATAAGCCAATCCAAACACCCTCTAAGAGCTCTGATACCATGTTATAATCATTGTGATCGATTTAGTTGCTAGTGGGAGGAGGAAGAATCTGAGAGAAAGAAGAAAGAAAAATATCTCGTGCAATAGTAAAATGAGCATCTGAAGCTTCTAGACTTAGAGCTCTTCTATTTATATGTGGACCGGATCTTTACAATTGGGCCTTGGCCAAAACTAAAAAATGAGTTATTGGGCTACCTATTAATACAAAGACTGGACTACACAAAATATACAACCCAATAATAAAATAAATCTAATTATGTACAAAAGAAAAACTCTATTATGTACAAAAAAAACTTTATTATCCAACATTGTACTCACCAAATTTTGTGGTACAAAAGAAAAACTCTATTAACCAACATTGAACTCACCAAATTTGGTGGTAGACCTAGTGAACAATCGCGGCAACACTAATTTCTTTAGGAAAAAAGGAGTGACTATGGATATTTGACTCAAAAGAATCTTTAGAACTGATCAGTAATATTATTGGAGTATTTAAAAAATGCATGTATTAAGTTAGTGTGGAGAAATATAAAAGTGCTAATAACAAAGGGATCAAGCTATTCAATCTTACTCTACTAGGCCTTAATATGAAGTAAATGAACCATGATAGTTAGTTACTTCCCAGAATGATAAGCAAACTAATTTACAAAATTTTAAAGTAGAAGAACGGCACTGTTTGGGTCTTAATAATTCATATAAACCCCTCATCTGCAATTTGGTTCTGCTTTTGATTCACAAACTAAGTGGATGCTACATTCCAAGTCCCCTAGACCTTGTTAAGCTCTCTACAACTCAGAAAAGATTTGGAAATAACAAAATTAATAACTATTTAATTTTCTTAATTATATGTGTATCGATCTTTGTTGTATGTTCATCTCAAATCATAAGCTAGCTACAAGTAATTTTCCATTTGGGGTTCTCTTTTTCTTGTTGGTTTGATTATTGTGGAATTGAGTAGATTCTTTTAGCTTGAAATTCAGAAACGTAGTTTTAAGGATTCTTCTTGGTAAGGAAATGTCTCGCATAATTTCTTCTTTACCTGTTTCTCCCTTAAATTTATTCTACATTATATATTAACAGTTTAAAACTAAAGTTGCCATTTAATTATAGTCATTAATACGTAAAAGAGGACACTGACAATAAAAGGAAATAAAGATTCAGCAAAGAAAACAAATAAGGAAATACTAATATGTACATTAAGAGGAAGATATGAATATATTTGACTAAGTAAGAAAATTCTTTCCTTCTTCTCTCCCTCCATATCCGTTACTTAATTTTAATGAAATGTTAATGCAAAACTTTCAAACAGATTCTCTCATTATTTATCTATAAATTCATAGAACAGTTCATCACCAACACACAAAAACACATACATTCATAGCTTCGTGCAATATTTGAAGGTGACTTTTTGACACTTCTTTTTGATCTTTATAAATAACCATTTTTCTGCGTGTTTTGTTCTAACTTTAGAATATCAGTAGTTACAGTGTAGTGATAGTATACTGTCCCCATTTACTAAAAATGATAACTTGCAGCATGCAATGAAACGTGATTATATCTTTGTTTTAATTTTGGTTCCTTAATATTAGTTTGTCATATATATATATGTATTCAACAGTTGCTGATAATTTATTTTTTTAGAATTTAGAATATGTTGATTCATCGAAGAAATGTACTACAAACTTCGCTGGTACTCTATTTTCTTCTGAGTTATGACGGAGTTCAAGGAGAAATGAAGCTGTCCAAACTAGAGGAACTAGCGTTGGAGAAGCAACTTAAACTTTTGAACAAACCGGCGGTCAAAACAATCAAGGTATGCATTTTTGGGATATTTCTTTAATAAGTTCTTTAATGATTCTTGTTTTATGCTAATACCACTTTGTATAAAAAAATACAATACCCTTCCATCTCATAACATCCATGAAGAATTTTAACATTCAAGTGTAAACTGAATATTTACAACTTAATATTTACCATACTTTTTTTCGTAGTTTATGTTGTAGTTGAAAATCGTGAAATTTCTAAATTATAATTTTTGACTTGTTCACAAATTTGTGTAAGGCACAATAACTCCTTTGACAAAAGCATATATATTCATTTTGAAAGTCAGATATGGTAAAGTACTAGACAGAAGCATTGTTTATTATTTAGCAACCATTTTATTCTACAAAAATTTTATGTACTCATAAGTTATTTAATTTCGATAGCATGATGTTGTATAGTACAACCAATATTAAAGTTTACGGAATTTTTGCTCACAGACGGGATGGGGGGTTACATACGATTGTGTGGATTTCTACCAACAACTTGCATTTGATCATCCAGCATTGAAGAATCACAATTTTCATCCCGAGGTATGTATTTACACTTTCTTTTTGTGTATTCAACTTTATACAGATGAAGTATTAATGATAATAGATGATTTAAACAAATTTTGAATTGACAGATGAAACCCACTTTATCAACGATAAAACAAATATCAAGTACCTCAACTATTGATATATCTTCAAGGAAAGTGTTAGAGAATGGAGGTTGTCCGTCCGGAACTGTTCCCATCAAAAGAGTTACCAGAGATGATCTTATTAGACAAAGACGTATGCCACCGCCAGAAAATGTAAGATAATATATTACACCAATTCACAACTTTCTTGATAACTTCATTTCTGCACAACAAAATAGATAATGTACAAAAGCGAAGCCCAATTAGATTGACATAAGATAATATTACACTCAATTCATTTATAATCTGACATACTTTTTTTTATTGTTTTGTGCAGACTAACAACATTCTTGAGACAACTGGAGGATACAGGGTACATGAATTGGATATTTTTTTTTATTCATTTTCTGTGTTATGGATTTATCATTTGACCATTTCCTATCAGCTCCACTTAAAATTTCAAGTGAATAAACATAGAGTTAATTTGGATAATCTATGTAATGAGTAAAGGTAAATTTTTATCTTTTATATTCAGCGTGCAATAGTTCATACTCCAAATGATCCAAACAACAAATTTGCGGGAGCTGGAATGGTAGCTAGTATATGGAATCCTTATGTTGAAGGTCAACAAAATAGTGTGTGCCGATTGAAGATTCAAAAAGGACAAGATAGTATGCAAGTTGGTTGGAGAGTAAGTTTAACCCCTTATTTATTAGCAATTTAATTATTTTCTTACTTGCAATAGTTTTAAAATTTTAGAGGACAGATACAGAAAACGGAAATGGAACGGGAAGATGGGATGGGGATTGAATTTTATGCCTCTGGAATTTCTGTCATTGAACTTTCACTCAATAGTTATAACAGCTTATTTCTTGTTTTAGGTGGATCCAGCATTATATGGAAATAATCATACTATGCTTTTTATACATTTCCAAGTAAGTTTTCTTGGGCACTTCATTAAATGATTTCTTTGTGTTCATGAAATTAGTATCTTCAACTAGTTGTTCACCTCAACAGAAAATGGTTCATGAACTTTTAAATATTTCTTAGGCTGGAAATACACATTGCTTCAACACACTATGTCCTGGTTTTGTAATAGTAAACAATGACATATATCTTGATTCTGAATTCGAACATATTACTCACCGAGGGGACGATCAACAGTGGGAGTTTGTTATGTACATTGATCGTGTAAGATTTATGTATCTTTTTGTCTACTTTATTAAGTTTTTTTCAGTAATTCTTTAGATTAGATTTTTGAAGCGTTTTAAAAATGCTAACATACATCTCCTTCTGAAAACTAAAGGATCTAGCAAATGGAAATTGGTGGCTTTTGATTGGAGCTAATCAGACAGCAGTTGGGTTTTGGCCTCCAGGAATTTTCACAGCATTAGCAAACGACTTTGCTACGAATATCGAGTGGGGAGGGGTGACATATACTCCACCAGGTGCACCTTATCCTGCAATGGGCTCTAGCTTTTTTCCTGATCAATATCAACCAAATCCTTCTCTTGATGCTTATTGTAGGGGACTTATAGTTTTAGATGATAAAGGCGTGACGACAAATGCAAATAACACACCCATATTTATTGATAGTCGCTATTTGTACCACGTTACTGATGAACCAAATTGGGGACCTGGACAGTTTCCGCATTATATGTTTTACGGTGGACCTGAAACAAAGTACGTGCCCCCTTTGTAGAGTTGTTATGTAGTGTAAGCTTTGGGCTGAATGTTATAATTAGAGGGTTCGGCTCTGCTCCATTACTTTTGGCTCCAATAAACATCAATATAATTGCAGATGGATGACACGTGTCCATATAACTATGAAGGACTACGATTGCTTTTTAATTTATTCTTGTATTTTTGGTTATTCTCCATCTTTTGCGGACCGGAACAAGAAGGAATTCGTTGACGTCAAAACTTTTATCGTTCTAATGTACTTATCTCATGCCAATACCAAAACCAATCATTCCCTTCCATGAAAGCATAGACATAGCAAAGAGTGCCACAAGGCAAAAAGTTATCGAGTGTATTGTATTCTTATAAACAATTACATATATGAATTAATTGTTTAATAGAATAAAATTTGGTTAGCTTTTTATATGTAGAAAAATCAGTTATTAATTCTATTAATTAATAAATAAAAAATCAGTGCACTAGGTACATGTTTGTCATACTCAAAGTAATAGTCAGTTGGAACTATTACTGTTGTTGTTCCACAAAAGATGGAGAATAACAAAAAATACAAAAATAAATTAAAAAGCAAACAAAGCCCTTTATAGTTATATGGNTAAACGACTCGACGACAGTCGAAGTCGCCCACATGGCTAAGGCCATCGCCGCCAACGGTCGACCTAGATTCGACTACGGTGAGTAAACGACTCGACGACAGTCGAAGTCGCCCACATGGCTAAGGCCACCAATTATATTATGGCTAAGGCCATCGCCGCCAACGGTCGACCTAGATTCGACTACGGTGAGTAAACGACTCGACGACAGTCGAAGTCGCCCACATGGCTAAGGCCATCAATTATATTATGGCTAAGGCCATCGCCGCCAACGGTCGACCTAGATTCGACTACGGTGAGTAAACGACTCGATGACAGTCGAAGTCGCCCACATGGCTAAGGCCACCAATTATATTATGGCTAAGGCCATCGCCGCCAACGGTCGACCTAGATTCGACTACGGTGAGTAAACGACTCGACGACAGTCGAAGTCGCCACATGGCTAAGGCCATCGATTATATTATGGCTAAGGCCATCGCCGCCAACGGTCGACCTAGATTCGACTGCGGTGGGTAAGTAACTCGACGACAGTCGAAGTTACGCACATGGCTAAGGCCATCAACGATATAATGGCTAAGGCCATCGACGCCGATAAGTCGACCCAGCTCGACTACGACGGCAAGTAACTCGATGACAGTCGAAGTTACGCACATGGCTAAGGCCATCAACGGTATAATGGCTAAGGTCATCGACGCCGATCAGTCGACCCAGCTCGACTATGACAGCGAGTAACTCGACGATAGTCGAAGTTGCGCACACGGCTAAGGCCATCAACAATATTAAGGCCGAAAATAAAAGGTACAAAAAGAAAAGAATAACAGCAAAAGTATAACTTCCATTATCATCCAAAGATACATGTACAAAAGGACCCATTTACGCCTCCAAATACAGCAAAACAAAATGAATACAAGTCCTAAGGGGCTTCGCCATTCTGTTCACCGCCCCCCGTCGGATCGCCATCTAGTCCACCGCCGTCATCGGCCCGATAGGCCGCAGAGATCCAAGAGCCGGATTCTAGACGGTTGACGTCTTCGGAGTTATAGCCCGCCCAGTCTGGGGAATCAGAACTATACCCACAAGTTTCACGGGCGACACGGGCTATGCGCCGTTGCTCTTGAACCTCCGCCTCAGAACTCCTCGAATACGACCAATCTGGCCTCGGCGTACACCCACATGTCATGCGCCTTACGATGCGTATCCTCATCAGGCCTTGGTGCAGCAGTCCGCTTGAGGACTTCAATCTCAGCCGCCTTGGCATCGAGTTCGGTGGTCATAGCGGCAACCTTGATCCGCAAATCAGCAGCTTCCGCCGCTACCCCACGGCCAACCTCCAACTCTTCTTCCTTAGACTGGAGAAGAGTCTCCAGCTTAATGTTCCGAGCCAGGGCGGTCATCAGCTGCTCGTCGATCTGCTCCAACTCAGCCACTCTCCGTTTCAGCTGGGCCTCCGACTGCTCCAAACCCTCACGGAAAACCCGAAATTCCGGGTCCTGCTTGAGTAGGTCCGCCAGCGCCTGATGCTTGACGCGGCACCGCCGATATTTCTTTACCATCTTGTTAAAGGTGGCTGCCTTCCTTTGCGCTCGCCGCCCCCTCTCTACCTCCAAGATGAGAGTCTAAAAAAAGAGGAAAAGGAGGAAAGGCAAGTCAGTATGCATCAAAATTTACTTTACGGTACATGAAGAAAATCGAAAAATACCTGCAAGGCCGCGCCGGCAACCCTCCGGGATAGTTCCCCGTCGCTAACCCCTTTTAACATTTCACGCTCAGCGGCCGCACATAGCAGGGTCATATCCGTTGCGGCCTGCTCGCTGTGTTGCAACAGGTTATACCCTCCTGGGATCAGAATTCGGCGGTTGGATCTACCTGCCGTCATCCCCACACGGGCCGGACCCCGCGTTAACGCATCTGCATCCGCCTGGGCGGCCTTAGGGCCCACCCTCTCGGTATCATCGCCCGCTTCTCCAACGGCAGCCGACGAGCCGCTCTCCGGAATGCGTGTTGGGCTGGCGTCGAGAACCGCCCCCCCTTGGGGAGCCGACCTCCCGGAACGGATGGCATCTGCCATAAAAACTGGCCTTGACTCCCGATGGGGCTCGCTCGCCCCCTCGTCTTCTGTGGCTATCCCCTTGCCGGTTATCAACCGACGTCTTTTCCTTTCCGGCGGCTCCTCACTCCTAGAAGTCTCCTCCACAGCCCGTGGGGATGGCATTGAAGGAGTCGCTCCCCTCGTGGACGCCGCCACGGGCAGCGGTTGAGGAACCTCCGCAGCGCCATCACTGGGCGAACCACAGGGTATGTATCCGTCTTCAGAATCAGTCCCCGCCCCAGGTGAGGTGACGACGTTCTTTTTCTTCTTCTTAGGGGCGCTCCGACCTGCCAACGCGAATAAGTCAGGTAACAAGAACGTAGGGAACTCCCAAACCGTAGCCAAAGAATTACCTGACGGGCCGTACTGTTGAAGAAATGCAGCCCAGGTACGGCATTCCTCCGCATAAGGTATTATTCTTTCCACCCATGATTTAATGTCATCAGTGAACTGGGGTGGAGAAGCCCTCGCTGCGAATAAAAAAGGGAGAAAAGCAAAGAAATCACAATGGCCGTATGGTCAAAAGCGCAAGCAGTCCTGAATTCTACGAGTAGAAATACTTACGTTCTGGATTCCATCTTTCCGGGAACCCTTCGGGATTCGACACCAGGTGCTCCGTCCTGATGTAGAAATATTTACGCCAAAAGCGACGGTTGGGCTTATCATCGGCTTTAACAACCAAGCCCCTTGTGCCACGACTTTTTAACTGCAGCATGGTACCCCTCAGGTAACCAGGGCTGAATAACTGTAAGAGGTGGTGGACCGAGACGCTGCACTCAGCCCTGGCCGCATAAGTGGTCATAATACGGCACACCTTCAAGGTGTAAGGAGTGAGCTGAGCCGGACACACATTGTAAAAACGGCAAAGCTCCTCCATCAGAGGGTAGATTGGAAGATTGTAACCGATCAAGAACGGGTACTCATAGAATGTGCAATATCCAGGCCGGTGCACATTGGCATAGTCCGTCCCGGCCGGAACCATTTCCACGTGGTCCGGAATATGGTGCGTCTCTCGAAGATCATCTAAATGGGATTGTAATAAAACGCTGTGCTCCCAGGGAAGGTCTGGGCTTTTAGTTGGAAAATCCCTGCGAACATGCATCTCCTTCGTAAGGACGTTGTCTACACTGAGAGGAACAAGGGCCTTCTCCGCCTTTTCCCCTTCACCACCGGAAGATGGCGGAACCCTAGACGGGGCATTACCTTTGGCCTTTTTACTACTCTGTCCACGTTTTGTCATGATTATACTACGTAAGAAACGAAGCACTAACAATAGGAAGTGTGGTTTCAACAGAAGTGGGAGAGTCCCTCACGAAATAACGGTTACAGGAAAGAAAAACAAAGGAGTAAATCAGAAAATGCTTTCCGAAGGCTTGAAAGTTGAATCGAATTGAACCTCTCTCCTACTTATAGGGATAAGTTGCGCAGAAATCGAAGAGTCATGATTCAAAACGTGCGCGGGAAACCAAAACGTCACATCATCCTCTGAACCGCCTCGGGGGCAAATATAATAATGATGCATACAGGCGATGACGTCATCCCAAAAAGGAAGCCACGCGTCAGTGGCTCAACAACGTCATATATTTCGCCTCATTCATATTGCCGTCCCTGGTCGAGGTCAAATTCTCCTAAGCCGAGGTTCGCATTTCCGCCCATCGAAGACGCCCACCGAATGCGTCTCCAACGAGCGGAGGGACTAACTGTATAGGGTCAAATTTGACCCTCAGCATCTCTAGGCCAGTGGGTACGCCCAGTGAGTGTACGCCGACTAACGTAGCGGGTACGACTCGGACGTGGGGACAAAAGCGACATCGTTTAGGACTCAGTGTCTTCACTAGGGAGACGTTACCTGTCTTTGTAACTTTTTGATTCTTTCGAGGAAGGTCTCTTATTATATAAAGGAGACCTTCACATAGTAAAGGGGGGGATTCTGATCTAATACAAATCTCTCATTTTCTGGCTTTCTCTCTCTATCTCTACCTCAAACGAACATATCTTATTGAGTTCATATTATCACTTTGCAATACTAGATCTACAACAATAATATCATCTTTGCATCTCTAGGATTATTATATTTGATTACGATTTACCCTTTTCTTACTTTTAATTGTTTTCTAACTTACAAAGTATATTGTTAACTTTTGAGCCAAACAGTCTTATTTTCTGATTAAACAGTACATTTGAGGGACCAAACAAATAATTTAAAGTAAGGACTTTTCACGTACTTGTAACAATTAAATTACCCACTCGCATATCCAGGTGTATGTTTCCATTTTCATATTTAGGTATAAGCTATTTGTTTTTATTTAACGTCCTGTTTCTGAAGTTCACTTGACACAATTAATCTGGATCTGCCGGATAGGCTCATTAAAGAGAATAAAGCGTGTTCTATCAAAGGATTATTCATTTTCATAGTTCGAACCTGGAGTCAAT